GACACCATTACAGACTCTACAGTGGGAATAATAAGAGAGTATTATGAAAAAATGTTATGCCAATAAACTTGGTGAATTAGACAAATTCCTTTAATAGATACAATCTGTTAAAGCTCAATAAAAAGAAAACCTGAAAAGCCCTCAATCAACCAAAGATATCAATAATTAAAAACCTTTCCTTCAAGGAAAACTCCAGCCCCAGACAGCTTTATTGGTAAATTTTTTGCCAAACATTTAAGGAAAACATAATACAACTCTATATAAACTCTTTGAGAAAACTGATCAGTATGGAACACTTCTCAAATCATTTTATTCGGTTAGCATTACCTTGCTACAAAAACCAGACAAAATATTACAAGAAAAACACAGACATAACATAGACGTAAAAGAAAATAAAATGGAAGCTGCTGACAGGAAAAAAAATTATCTGCAAAACATGTATTTGATAAAGGACTTGTATCCAGAATATATAAAGAACCACTATAACTCCATTACAAGGAAAACAATCCAGTTTTTAAATGGGTTAGAAGATTTGAATAGACACATCACTAAAGAAGATACTCAAATGGTAAATAAGCACATGAAAAGATTCTCAGCGTCATTAGGGAAACAAAACTATGACTTGTTAACCTGTGACAAAGTGAGAGAGTGGCATGGACATATATACACTATCAAACGTAAAACAGATAGCTAGCGGGAAGCAGCCGCATAGCACAGGGAGATCAGCTCGGTGCTTTGTGACCACCTCGAGGGGTGGGATAGGAGGGTGGGAGGGAGGGAGAGGAAACAGGGAAGAGATATGGGAACATATGTATATGTATAACTGATTCACTTTGTTATAAAGCAGAAATTAACACACCATTGTAAAGCAATTATACTCCAATAAAGATGTAAAAAAAAAAAAAAAAAATGTGAGGATACCAAGTGTTGAGGATGTTGGGAAAGTGAAACCCTTATATATGACTGGTGAGAATGTAAAATGGTACAGCCACTTTAGAAAAGTGTTTGGCAGTTTTTTTTAAAGTTAAGTATACGGGCTTCCCTGGTGGCGCAGTACTTGAGAGTCCGCCTGCCGATGCAGGAGACGCGGGTTCGTGCCCCGTTTCGGGAAGATCCCACATGCCGCGGAGCGGCTGGGCCCGTGAGCCATGGCCGCTGAGCCTGCGCGTCCGGAGCCTGTGCTCCGCAAATGGGAGAGGCCACAACAAAAAAAAAAAAAAAAAAAAAAAAAAAAAAAAAAAAAAAAAAAAATAAAGTTAAGTATACATTATCACACAATTCCCATTCCTAAGTATTTACCCAAGAGAAATGAAATTTACCCAAGAGAAATGAAAACATATGTCCACACACAGATCTATATGCACAAATATTTATAAACAGCTCTATTTGTTATAGCTCAAACCTACAAACAACCTAAATGTCCATCAACTGGTGAATGCATAAACAAATTGCAGTATGTCCATGCAAGAAATATACTATTCACATTAAAAAAGAATGAACTGGGCTTCCCTGGTGGCGCAGTGGTTGAGAGTCTGCCTGCCAAGGCAGGGGACACGGTTTGTGCCCCGGTCCGGGAAGATCCCACATGCCGCGGAGCAGCTAGGCCCGTGAGCCATGGCCGCTAAGCCTGCGCGTCCAGAGCCTGTGCTCCGCAACGGGAGAGGCCACAACAGTGAGAGGCCCGCGTACCGCAAAAAACAAAAAAAAAGAATGAACTACTGATACATGCAACAACATGGATAATCTCAAAAGCTTTATACCAAGTGAAAGAAGGCAGACACAAACTACCACACACTGTATGACTCCATTCATATGAAATTCTAGAGATGCAAAACTATAGTGACAGAAAGCAGATCAGTAGATGACAGGAGCCAGATGAGGGAGAAGCGACTGACTGCAAAAGAGAACAAAGAACGTTTCTGAGGGAAGGAAATGTTTTATGTCATGATTATGGCGGTGTTTACATGGCTGTACCATTTGTGAAAATTCACTGTACCCTACACTTAAAATTGGTGAATTTTATTATGTGTAAACTATACCTCAATAAAGCTGATTTTTAAAAATGCAATGTTTTATAATGCCCAAGACTGTGGCGGGATTGTGGGCAGACAGTGCAAGGGGCTGGAAGTTAGGAGGGTATAAGGAAATAACTCTTTTTCTTTTCTCAGGTGGCAAGTCTTCTCTTTTTTCCTTCCCTTTACCCTTGGGGCTGGGATGCTCCCTCCTCCAAGCCCCTCTCCCATGCAGTTCAGGCCAGCAGCAGCACCTTCACCACAGTTCAAGGGTCACACTAGTTGATCACTAGCCCAGAAGAGATGTTTCTAAACCTTTTTTAAAAAAGCAGGTAACCCCCTTTTGCAAGCAAAGCCTTCTGTAGAACCTCATTATCTAAAACAGATAAAAGCAATGTCTTATTAGAACACATTTGTAAGTTCAACTTCATGATATCTCTGTATTATAAAATCATTTGATGTCAACAAGCTTGTTCTGACAAACCCAAAAATTTGATACGTAGGACATCTGAGTGTATATATTTTTAAACTACTGTTTTAAAAATATTTAAAATATATTTAAAGTTTCTGGGTAAAAATGGTAGATTGAACACACTTATCTAATTTTGTTCTACTAAAAATATACTAAAACTATAGCAAAGGGATTTTTTTAAGGCATAAGTGCACAAAGACAGGGAAACAGGAGAGGAGACAAGCAAAATACTTTAGGAAGCTGTTAAGCATATGGATGAGTGGTTGCTGATAGACTAGAGAAGGATGAATCCTAAGGCAGAAGTGGGGCAACCATATGGCAAATGGAATTAGTTGTGCCAGATTGCTGACCACCCCAAGAAGGAAGTCCTAAAGATGTGACATCAGAGGTTCCCTGCAGTGAAGCTCTTGGAGACAAGCCCCACCCATGTACCTCAGCCCACAGAGCACAAACGCTTCTCACTGGGATTTTGGTAACCCATCCTTAAATGTGAGCAGACAACCAGGGATTATAAGACCTTCAAGCAAAGAATCTAACATGAAAGAGATCAAAACCACAGAAAAAGAAATTTAGAGAAAACTGATTTTGCAAGAGAAGAAAACTTAAATCATCATTAATAGTGTCAGAGATAAGCTATTGCAACTTTGAAACAAAATAATATGCTATAAAAAGGAATAGCTGGAGAACAAAAATAAAGTGAGAGTAATAAAAGTCTTTAAAATATTGAAAAACTCAGTAGAAGAATAGGAAGATTTGAGGAAATCTCCCAAAGACAAAGTAAAAAAGATGAAAAGTAGGAGAGTAAAACAAGAAATGAGAAGGACCAGTCCAGCAGATCCATCATCTGAATTATAGGAGTTCCAAAAAAGAAATTAGAAAGAAAATGGAAGTGAAGAAATCACTAGTGGGATGATTCAAGATTATTTCCCAGAAGTTAGGGGCACTGAGTGCCCAGCACTACAAATAGCTTCTCTAAGACATATCACTGCCATTTGAGAACACTGGAGACAAGGAGAGGTTCAGAGAGGGGGTAGAGCCCTTGCTCCACAACAAGAGAAGCCACTGCAATGAAGAGTAGCCCCGGCTCGCCACAACTAGAGAAAGCCCACGCACAGCAACGATGACCCAACACAGCCAAAAATAAAAATAAATAAATAAGTAAATTAAAAAAAAAAACTGTAAAAATAAAATGTGACTGATAAAAGTTTATGGAACCTCTGAACCACTTCTGCTGTGCCTAGAGGTCTCAATAATAATGTTTGAAAACAACAGGACCAGGCCCTCATTTGAGGCCATCTAGGTATTACAATGAAAACCAGATGAAGTTTTGGAATTCCCCGGTGGTCCAGCGGTTAGGACTCCACCCTTCCACTACAGGTGGCATGGGTTCCATCCCTGGTTGGGGAGCTAAGCTCCCCCCACATCACAGGGCGCTGCCAAAAACAAAAACAAAACACCCACATGAAGTTTCTCTCTACGTCGGCCCCAAGAATGACTCTCTCTTCCTTTCCTCCCATTTGTCACCTTTAATTTAGGACTTCTACTTCGTATTGGTTGCTTTCCTACCTCTCCCCTGCTAGACTCTAAGAGCCTTGGAATTGGACCCAGGTGAGACTTCTTTGTGTCTTCAGGACCTAGCACAGTACCAAGCACGGAGCACAGACTCAATTAAGTGTTGATAAATAAAGGAAAAAAGAAACACCTTTACCCGGGCCTTGGACAGAAGGTGCTCGACCTTTCTGCACCCGTATGCCTGGAGCTCTGTAAGTTACTAGCCCTGAGACGTTCAGCAGTCATTAAATAGCTTTAGGCTATAATTCCCTTACCTGTACAACATAACATTTATCTCACATCTTTATTCCTAAAATAAATTGGGCCCCTCGCCTCACGATTTCACCACTTGGTGGGAGCCAAATCTCAAAAGAAGTAACTTTGGGGTCACCTAAGAAGCCCGTGTACGTCGCACAAGGGCAGGAGTTTCCCGGGATCTGTCTGCTTTTTTTCCCCACTGCTATTTGCCCAGTGCCTGGAACACTTCCTGACACATAACAGGTGCTCAGTAGTTGTTGAATGAGTGAATTAAAGTGCTAAAAATACGCATCGAACCAAAAAAACGCTCTGTGAAGTGCAAAGATATCCCTACATTCGGAATGAATACTTGAGTCCAGCCTCTGGTCCTGGGAGCGAGCGCGTGGGATCCAGCCGCTCCGCGCGCCCTTGCAGTCGAGCCGCGAAGGCAGAGAAGCGGCGGGCCGAGGTCTGGAGGCGGCCGGCGGGAAGGGTGGGAAGGGCGGGAAGGCAGGAGAGTCGCGGGCGCGCGCTGAAGGGTCGGGACCCAAACTCAGGCCGCGAACCGCACCCTGGCGTCGGCCCTCCGGCAGTCACTCAGAGCGCGGAGCGGGCGTGCCCCGCGTCCCGCGTCCCGCCCCCCGGTAGGCGGACCCCGGAGCAGGAGGTGCAGGGGCGGGGCCTTGCTCTCCGCGCCGGGGGTGGCGCCGGGCCGGGGCTCTCTGGGCCGGTGGAGGACCCGGCTGGTCGGCGGGAGCGACCGGAGCCCCGGCCACCAGGGCGTGCGACCCCCCACTGGCCCCGCCTTCCCGGCTGCGGCCGGCCAATCAGAGCGGCTTTTACTGGTGGGTTGGCCGAGCCGGCCCAGCTGCTCGGAGGCTCTGGCATGGTAACGTCCCCGCGCGGGTGCGGAGGGTCCTGGGTCGGTCCCACAGCGCCCCCGGCGGCCCGGGCCTGGGCCGGGGGGACGGGGAGGCCGCCGGGGATACCCGGGACCCCGGGGCAGAGCTAGGGGAATGAGGGGTTAGGGAGAGAAGCCAGGGAGGGGGGAGGGGGCGGGGATTTGGGGAGAAGGGGCGGGGGAGGCCATGATGGAGGATGGCGGAGGGTGGGGGTGTTGAGGGGAACTAGGGTTGCGGTACTGGGTGAGGAGGAGGAAGGGATGAAGCGAAGAGTGCGTTTGTGGAGAAAGGTCGAGAAAGAAGAGGGGGCGAGAGATGTGGGAACCGGTGGACTAGGGGAAAGCTGGGGGCCACAGTTTCCCCCCATGGGATATTTGGCGTGCGACATGCCCCTTACCCAGACTCAGTGCTTGAACCCTTTGGAAGCCCTGGGTGCCCAATAAGACCTCTTGGAGACCCCCTCCTTCATTTCCCCGCATTGTCTCCTGAGGTGAGGAGGGGGCATTGTTTCCTGAGGAAAGAGAGGCGTCCGGCCCCCACGCAGTGCTGAACAGTCCAAGAAATGGGAGAGCAGAGGCTCCTTGGTCCCAATCCTGGCTCTGCCGTCAACAAACTCTGTAACAACTCTGTGTGACCTTGGGCAAGTCACTACCTTTCTTTGGGCCTCAGATTTCCTATCGATTTAAAAAAAAAAAAAAAAGGAAGATGCATGGGAATGATATCCTAGATCTCTTTCTGCTCCAAAACGGGGTGGTTCTTGAGGAGAGAGTTCAGGAGAATGGGTTCTAGGACGTCGGGAAGCAAAAGAAAGAAAGATGAAGATGGAGGCTAGGCCTTCAGCTGGGGCTGCAGAAAATCCCCAGGGATGTGGGGGGATGGTAGGCACAAAGCAAGGATGGGGCAGGCTAGCCAGCGCCTCCGGAATCCTGTTGGAGGGATGGGAGAACTCTAAGTAGAGGAGGGGTTGAGACCTAACCCAAGAAAGATGAAGACCAGAAGTAACATTCTGTTCATCAGAAGGAGAGTGATGAGATGGCAGGATCAGAGAGAAGCAACGGAAGGTATTTTCTAGTATCTTTGGGGAGCAGGAGGAATAATGAGGCTGGTACAGGGGAGTGGGGACTAGAATGGTTTCGAAAACAGGGAGGGAGAGGCTGGTGCTGTTTGGGGCAGCTGAAGAAGGGCAGCAGGTAGATAATTAGAGCACAGGGTAATCAGCTGGTCTCTCAGTCTCCATGATACTTTTCTTTTTGATGATGGCTACCTCCTTCTGAGAGGTGTGCCTCCCAGCCTTCATTTTCCAGCACAAATCCCTTCAGGGAGTGAGTCAGACCTGGCCAACCTTGGGATCCCCTGGCTGTCTGAGGATTTGAGGATTGTGTGAGGATTGGGGTAAAAAAGAAAAGAGGGGAATGAATTTGAATGTGAGAAATATCTGTGGCACTATTGTCCTTGCTGGGAGGCCACTTTGGGGTCAGACTGCTTGGATTCCAAACTTGCCTCTGCCATTTACTTGGAACCTTGGTCAAGTTACTTGATCTCTCTGAACCTCAGTTTCTTTATCTGTAAAATGGGGATAATAACCTCTAATATAGTTGCAAGGATTAAATGAGTGTTTGGCATGGTATCTGGCTCATAATAAGCACTCAGTAAATGTTATTTTTCCCTCTTTCCATTCTCTTCCTTCTGTCCCTCCAGTCTTCTCCTTTTCTCCTTTTGTTCTTTCTTCTGAATCTTCAGTTCTGAGATGCCCCTCAGTTGTGGAGGCTGAGAAAAACTGATTGTATATGTCGGGGCCAGGGGTGGTGGGGGAAATCCTCCAACTGGCCCAGGTGAACACATGATGATCAGATGATCAACTATCTCTTCACTGTCTGTCCCCAGCCTACAAATGTGTTTTTGTTCCAGGGAAGACACATGATCTGCTTCTCTTTCAGCCCCCTTTCCTATATCCCTCTCTCACACAAGTTACGTCTTCACATTCTCACACAGAAGTATAATAAGACCTGAAGTTGTATAGGCACTGCAGCAAGTGAGATAGGGGCAGGGGTGTTTCAGGAAAGAAAGCCTACAGGTCGCACAGGGGAGGCTCAGGGAAGGGAGGGCTTTGGAAGTTCCATAGTAATTTATGTTCATTCCATTGCTGTGTCCTCTCTGGGGAACTGTCCAAAACAGGCTAGTGTCTGGATTCTGGCCAGGGGTCTCCATTCCAAGTTAAAGATGGTCATATACAGTTAGTTTTTAAAATTGTTTAGGTTTTCCCGTGCCAGTATTTGGTTCTAGTTCACTTTCCCCAGCCACACAGACCTCTGCCAAACTGCCTCTCTCTCACATCACGGTCAGCTTTTACCCAGAGAATTTATACAAATGTACCTGGGTACATGTGCACCCACATACACATTTGTCTGTTTTAGGATATTCCAGTATGCAAAAATAAGGGGTGAGTCTGCATCTTGTCACAGCACTTTGTGTGCAGGGCCCTGACTAGACACTTCAGAGGAGGCTTAAAAGGAGAAAACGCAATCCCTAAATGTAGGGAAACAGTATGCAAAAATAAGGGGTGAGTCTGCATCTTGTCACAGCACTTTGTGTGCAGGGCCCTGACTAGACACTTCAGAGGAGGCTTAAAAGGAGAAAACGCAATCCCTAAATGCAGGGAAATCCCCACCTGAGTAGGGAGACAGGCAGTTCCATGTGAAACACCCAGCAAGCATCCACAGAGTAGCCTGTCACTCTGTGCAAAGTAGTGCAGCATTTATCCTGAGGGGACACAAGTAGGAGTGTGTGTATGTGTGGAGGATAGTCATAAAGGTAACCTGAAGGAGGTGACTATTGGATCATCTTGAACAAAATAAGAGACAGAATAAAAGAAACACATGGAGTAATCTAACAGTTTGTGCAAAGAGGAGGAGGGGAGCCATTGAGTCAGGGTGAGCCAAGAGGAGTGTGGGATGGGTCTTGTTTAAAGGCTTTGAATGAGATGAGATGAGAGATTCTGTAGGGTGGGCAATAGGGACCCACCACTGGTTTTCAGGCAAGAAAATGTTGGAACCTTCCTGGTTTAACCACATGGGTCTCAGGCGATATGCTAGAGTGAAGAAAACAGAACTGCTTCCTGTGGTAAGGACTGTGCTTTTAAGGGAGTAGGGCTAGAGGGCAGATTGGATCCAGCCCTGGGACCAATTAGTCCCCCTTAGTTTTTTATCTGAAAAATGAGGACTGCCTAGGGTGGTTGCCAGCATCCTCTCCAGCTCTGACATTCTGTGTTCTCTGAATAACTGCTAGACCTTAAGATGGCTTTGTTTTGTGGGATTTGCCAAGACCATTCAGTCAGTAAGTCAAGAAATAATAGCACATACTGTGTGCCAATAGGAGGTGGTGAGGAGAATACAATGGGCATAGGATATTGGAGTAAGCAAAAACAGAGTCCCTGCCCCTTAGAGTTTTCAGCCTAGTGGAGGTGTCAGATATTTCATTGATTCTAAGATTCACATTTTAACATTTCTGAAGTCAAGATGCATCTTAAAATCAGTGGAGTATCATAATTTAATTGGCAGCATTTGTTTTTTATTAGTGCCACATAAAATAAGAATACAATCAGAATTGTACAAATAACTGTAAAATTCCAGTGGATAATTGCTGAAGGGGGAGGTAACATGGTGTCTGAGTGTGTAAAAGAGGGCTCTGACTAGTCCGCTGGGTTGAGGAAAGGCATTCCTGAAAAAATGATGA